GATATCACAATATGCGAACGAGTGGAAACAGTCAATCGAAAGCGAAACGACAACCGCTGCCGAACTCAACGCGTTCAACGAAGCTATCAAGGATCCCAAAGGTTTCTTCTCCACAATGAATATAGGAAAAGATATTGTTGACGAAATCAACGCAAATCTCGAAATCATTGACGCCAAGTTACGTTCCACTGCAACCCCTTCCTTCTCATCAATCACCACAGGCCACTTCTCACGAAGTTGTTCCAAAAAACAACCGTTTCATTACTGTCGCAGTTCTGGTCATCATCAAGCGCTGTGCAACGATGCACAGTCGCATCAATCCGTCGCAACGGGCCATCAACGCTCAATCAGCAACAATCAACAATCGAACCAGCAGCTCACAATGACAGCTGCCGTCGATTCAATCACAACTCAGACTCTGCTACCGACCGCATACGCTGAGGCTTTCAATCCAGTCAATCCTGAAGTACGGTATACGGCCGTAATATTGTTCGACAATGGCAGCGACAACACTTACGTCACTACAGAATTGGCACAAAAGCTCAACCTGCCAACTGTCGATAGAAAATCCGTCACAATCAACGGAATCGGAGAAACCACGATTCAGAATGCTCAAATTGATATCGTCGATGTTCAATTATCCAGAGATGACGAACGGATCGCAATTCGTGCACTCGTCGTTCCAAAATCCACTCATCGACTACTTACCGTTGCGATGCCGTCAAAACTATCTGCGCAAGGAAACACCATTCCACTTCTGATGCATTCAGCACCGGCTTCAGTTTTGATCGGTGTTGATCAAATGAACGAAGTGATAAACCTGTTATCCGTGAAGAAACTACCGTCTGGTTTCACCCTCTTAGAATCTCGTCTGGGAATGGTATTAAATGGCAGAGGCGAAACTACGCTACTCAAAAATCAAGCAGTAATCGACTCATTCACAGTGATGACATCGACTTCAAATGATCCATTAAAACAATTTTGGAAACTGGAACTCATGGGTATTACTGAAAATCCTCCAATCACTGTTGACGATGTTGCCATACAGAAATTTCGAGAAGGCACCAAATTCAACGATGGTAGGTACTATATTCGCTGGCGATGGAAAGAAGGCGAACTATTACTGCGGGAGACGGAATGTCAAACTGGAAAGGCAACCGACGAGATACGACACATTCTCGACGGCATCAGCAGAAACTCAATCGTAATCACGGTCTCGGTCGTTGTAATACTAACTTTGATTGCAGGTTTGATCATCTCGACTAAATCACTCAGTCGCTCGATTTCGTTTCAATCTCCCGTTATCCCTCGACTAAATCACTCAATCGCTCAAGTCATTCTTTCGTTGATTATTGTTTATTTGCTGCCTGTTGCTCATAATAAATATTCATTTCGTTGTAAATAGCGGTTCACATTCAAATACCACTAGACGCCTACCTCCGATCAATATAATCGCCGCTAGTTTACAGCAATTTTGATGTAGCTTAGGGTTTGCAAAATATCGAACATTTTCTCAACCCCGAATTTATCCCGAGAGAATCCCGGGATTGAAAAACAACTCTTGAAATATAGAAATGTGACATGTTTACCACATTATTTTTCAACCAATGTGTTTAAATCAATCAGAAAACAGTTTAGTTAACAAACCATTCAACAATACTCAAGAAATTCAATAAAACAAAACAACCGAAACAAAATTGCGATAAAATGAACTGCGATAAAACTGTTTTTTTTTCGTCATCTTTGTGACGAAAAAAAAACAGACTTAAGACTGATGCAATAACAACAAATTCAAAAAGCAAAATTCAGTACGATTGAAACGAACTTTGAGATTGGTCAGAGTGTTGATAGTTGGATCACTCAGTTTTTGCATATTCACTGTATTTTCCCTCATCACTTTGAACAAATGCGTTTCAGAGATTACTCTGCTGTTCGTGTCATTAGTTTTTTCACAACTTACGTAATCTTGGGAATTCATCATCAATTCTGTTTGCTTTGAGAACGCAATATCATGTTCATTCCTGCCCTTGGATGAATGAGTCGCCATCGATGAGTTGGGCTCTGGCTCACTACCATTCTTACCGCACGCACCGAATAACGTCGAAAATAAATTTACTGCTAATTCCACAATACTTTCTTTCACAATCTTAGACCCCATTCAATATGTTCCTTTCCGAATGTGATCAGGATCATTCATATATCCCATCAAATGCAACAAAGTTGGTATTCCGCGGTCGTTAGTCCTCGCCAGAAGTGTACACAAGATATCATCAGCGAGATTCGCATTCAACTGATGCTTCATTCGTGATGAGTATACTATCAAATTTGTACAGACGTATGNCCCGTTCAATAGCCAAAGAATTTCTTCAATGTACCAGTGCTTTGTTATTTCAAATGACCCATTACGACGCAAAATGCAGCAATAATAAACAGTAATTTTTCGCTGCGACATCGTATAAACAGTAGCAATTCAGTGACATTAAGAACAGGATTTTACTGGAACGCACGTTCTCACTGATTTTGAGTAAATTGCGTGGTTAGAAGAAGGGAACGAGATCAATATTCACCATTTTAATGGTTAAATCATTATTAGAGAAATTTTAGAATAATTTTCTTGTGAAATAAGCTATAAAATATTCCATCTGACGTCGATTTCAAATAACGGGAAAACGTTGGAATTCTTGAATATGTTGAAATATCATTCGATGTTCTGAAAATGTTTTATGCATTGCAGCAATGTTCACAGCTGATATCGCTGTAACTTAGACGTTGGTGAAATACGCCATAAAATATTGCATCTAATGTTGCTTCCGTTGAAAAGCCATTTCGCCGGTGTCGTAACGAAGTGCTCGGCCAGCAGCTTTTAATGCGATGATTATTACCGAAAGGTTCTCTGATATTTGCTTCGGCTACGAGATATTTGCTATCGAATTATTGGAATTTTCGTCCATTTTTACATTAATTCTCGTATTGTGACAGCTTTTACGTGTATTATTATTTGATCATATCTTAGAGCTCATGGTTTCCACATCCATGCTGTTTTCATTGTCCAATGGGAGCAATTTGATGGGTGATGGATGATATTGTTCGTTTAGGTGTCGTTGATCAACGATGGATCTGACGAAATTGATCCTTTGCAGCATCGTTGTGATTTGCATGATTTCCACAACGCATGCACATCAGTTGGGATATAATGAAACTGAAGCTAAGATATTGGCATACCTATCCGGAGCTGCCTATGCGCATGATCCGAACCCATGTGTTCAGAAGTGAGCGGCATTCTGGGATTAATTTGATCATGACTCTTCAACTTTTCGATCAATGAAAATTGCATGGTACAACTCAATAGTCCTACCGTCTTCATGCTCATTTGAGGGCACTTGTTTTTAGTTGGTTACCAAAAGATCAACGATGGAGAATTGTACATAGAGGCGATAGACTTTTCGACCGCGCAGGAAATACGCGTTCTTATTTTGTGATGCGTTCGGATGTAGTTCGACGATACATTGTTGTATTTCATGCAGTGGTCGCCTCCTCAGCGCTGCTTTCATATGGACCAAATGGCCGCATAGAAAAACGCCAATTTTATTCATTTGGAGAGGTCTGCTTCGAATATAACGTTATCATATTCGTATAAATCAATGATCTTTGAAGGCTCACCAGTATGGATAATCATTAAAACAGTGAAGCTATTGACGATTGGTGTATTCCAGGTGCACAAAGAATTTCATGAAACTGCGCACGTGCAATGGAAACAAGGACTTGAGACGCATCTGAGTGATCCTCGATTTCGGTCATATCCAGTAACATTCACCGGACATTCATCAGGTTTCGATATACTGCTTCTATTCAATTATCAGTTCATACGTCATTCATCCGTTGCATTTACTGCTTAAGTATCAAGATTTATAATCGTTTCGTAGGAGGAGCAGTAGCATCACTGAGTGCTATGAAGACGGTAGTTATGGGTCATCGTGAATCGCACCAGGTCAAAGTGGTAACGTTTGGACAACCCCGCGTTGGCGACATAAACTTTGCAAGAAACTACGATCGTTTAGTGCCGAATACGTGAGAATCATTCAAGTTCTCGATATGACGAACATTGTCATGCGAATAGCTGATTGATGACACATGATGAGTGATATGAAGTCGAATAATATTGCAGTTATCGAGTTGTCCACAAAACAGACCTGATGCCGCATATGCCGCCGTGCGACAAGAATGAATATTACTATAATGGTAACAATCCAAGTAAACCATGCAGTTCCCGTACGAATGGCTTCTATCATCAAGGTACTGAAATATGGTAAGTGAATTTCTGACTCAGTAAAAACTCAATTTAGCACGCTACCACTTATTGATCCTTATGGAATACTCATGCAGTTTGATGCATTCACAATTACAACCATTTCGAGAGCTCCAGAATTGAATGTGTACGAGAATTCTGAGCTAAACACAATATTCAAAGGAAGAAGAAACACGATTGATGTTCAGCTCCTCTTTATGAAATTATCATCCGAACGATTAGGGGTCTTTTCCAGGTATAAGGATGGTATGGGATCCAATGAAAAACATACGGAATGTTTGGGAGAACCGAGAAACGAGGACTTCCAATGTAGTGATATGCATATCTATGACTATCGTGTAGAAGTTACCCAGACCTTCGAGCATGCAGTATACTTTGATCGCAAAGTAAGTTGATCCTCTAACACCATCACTGCTCATAAAACTTTTCGAGTACAGTATTGCAGGAGTGATGAGCGTCCAATGAATGCTCAGAGTGGCTGTTTGAAATATCCTACAGTAGTAAGCCAGTGATCTTTCGAAACCAATAATAATAAGCAACGATTTTAATCAATGCATTCATAACGATTGGCACATTAGACATTCCACAACCAAGCACTAACGAATGACCGTTGCCGTAAATACTTCGCGTAAATTAACACAGCCAAATACCAATCCAGTATATAATCCAGTATTATCAATAAACACTTTGCGTGTTGCCCTCAACCATCGGCAAACCAATTGCTCAATTTCTGAATAATAAGCTGCTATTATTAATGTACGAATGAGGAACAACTAAACTGATGTGTTCACTATTTTAGCAGTGATAAGATCCACTTAAAATGGTTCATTTCCATTTCTGCTATTGCATTATATCCATCAATTCCGTGCTGTCGCAGTTATTTGCAACCACTCAGTCAATCTACGTGGTTTCAAGGAAGAAATAACACTACATGAGAAATGAGAATACTTCCTTCTTTTCAGCTATCAGATTATGGTGAATATGGCTGCCCCGTTCATATGGGAGCGAAATGGTATAGGCAAAACGGTCTGCGACGCAGGAAGAGAAGACGTCATTTGACAAGCACGCTACGTTTCTCGCATGATTCACAAGTCCGCTTGCAAACGCAAATCAACCAATGGCGTGACAGTGAACGAAACAGAGTTCACCGATTTTTCAATCCCATGGAAGACTTCAGTAGACCAATGGCTCCGATTGGTGCGTCTCAAATCAGAAAGTGATCTTCCGATAAAATCACTGACAGAAATGGAATTTCTGAATGAAATAAAATTAGCAATTTCAGGTTGTTGATATCTTTGCAATCAATTCATAATAAATTTTTCACTTTCGAACGTCAACTAATGCCTCTCAGTCTGACAATGAGAGAGATTGAATAAACTTTGTTCTTAGTGATGAATTGCGACAGGACGCATTTCATGAGAAACAATGAATGAAACAACTATATAATCCCCACGTCAACAGTTCATGAAACAATTATAGTCATACAATTCTAGATATTGGTTGTTTGATTGAATGTTTCGGCACTGCTTGTTTGATCAAAACTTCTTTAAACTTGACTTGTTCTAGACTTCGAATTTGGGTGATTAAACCTTTTATAACTTTAATGATAATAATGATAACTGCGCAAACGTATTATACGATTGAGAGATCTATTCGATTAGTTATAAGTGAAACAATAATTTGGGAATGAATAATTTGTAAAGCAAGTAAAGTTGTTCGGAGCGTGAATGAACTAGAACAATGTGAAATGAACTGAACAATATGAAATTTGTGATATAGAGTTAACATATATGATTGAGAGACATAAGTCATACAATTACAGTATGCAAAATAGATGTTCATACAATTAAAACAGATATTAATACAATTCATACAATTACATTCATTTAAATCGCTTCGTGCAACAGTTTACATATTACAACCACAATACAGCAATATTTTACGTAGCAGAAACGAATGAATAATTTCAAACAATCTTGACAATCAATTCTCTCGCGATGTCAATTGCGAGATTCATGGCGTTCGAGAACTTTTCTCACATATAAATTTTTTCAAAGTTCTTTATAATTTTGGCTAATTTTTACCTGTCTTTGGCTAATCAGCGCTTCTTCGCATGGATTTATCCAACGTTTTTTTTCAGCTGATATCATAACTTGCAAATGCAATCTGAACTGTTGCTTGCTGCAGCCAACAAGTGCACACGCACACGAACTAAATTTCTATCGAACACTCTACACACAAAGTAATTAGTTCCATCAGGAAACAGCCGCCCGACCAGACAGTGCAACATTGTTGACATTTCATGAATACTCACTCCAGTCCAGCACTTACCTTAGCGGCAAATTAACGATCACCGTTTCTGAACTTAGTATCATCATGAATCGTCATTCTGGGTTCAGTCTGGCGAGAAATATTCATTCCTTTGTAACAAATGAATTCAAAAATGAACACATCCACCTTTTCATAACTCAAGCATCATCTTCGATGGAAACGTTTCAATTACATTAAAAGCGTTATTGTGTGGATGCAGACAACTTATTAGCAGAATGAATGTTATTCAATAATAATAATACTAGAAATAGGGCTGACCTTTTGAGTGAACTTTATTTTTTGGTGAAACAAAGATGAGTTGAACACGATTACGAATGCGAGAAAACAATTGAACAAACGCCTCAGTATACGAGCGAATGAAGACGAAACACAAAATCGGATGTACACAATTTTGCCACGGGTTTAACGCAACATAAATGTAGAGCACAAGATGCAGATCGAAACGAAATGAAAGATAACCAGCAGCAGTCGGCAGTGTGTGAAAAATGAACGGTAAGAGTGCCTGACGAAGATAACCAATATTAGAAATTTATTTCATCAGAAACAAATTCAGTCATATCCGGTCTTGCCATATTATTAATACATTCTGTCAAAATTCATGTTGATGCGTACGTATAAATGTGTAAGCTACAACACTAGTTGTTTGTCAGTACCTTTAATTCCGACGAAAAGTAGGTGCTGATGGATTGAGAAAATATTTTATGAATACCTGCATTGAAATGAGCTGTGTGAAACGCTTCTGCATTTTCTTCGTATGCTGAGACAAGCTCAATTTCGACATCGTTCGCAGTGTGGAGATACCACAAAAGGCAGCAATCGCATAAACCGTTACATTTATTATTAGAAACATCGCGAAACTCAATGTTCCTTGATTGCTACCCTGAAATTTTGCAGTCCACCTGTTCAGTTATCATGCATGTGAAAGATTGGTCTCTTGGGAATGATTCGAAATTTCATTTTCTTAAGATGGAATTCTTCTTCTTTTCACGTCAAATAGTTCATTTTTGAGGTTACATGAATGAGCGCTTCATTCTACCAGTTACCTTCATTAGGTATGAATGCACAATAACTCTCTAGTAATATGCTGATTGCCAGAAATTTGAACTATTTTTGAAACACTTCTATTGGGTAGGTTAGATGCTTGAATCATTCCTCCTATAACTGATGATCGTTTCCAACGAAAAAATAAGAATGACTGTGGTTCATCATGTTAGGTGAATTTAATATGAAATGACTTTCTGCTACGAAAGAAATATGAACCTACTCCGGTTTATGAAGAAGTTTCACCGAACTAAACAAACGTACCCGTTGCTTCAAGTGAAGCGCACAGCCGACGTTTGGTTCTCTGTCAATCTGAAGAATTGAAGAGACCATCAGAAAACTTTTAATAGCAGTCAGAGCGCAAACGAAAGTGATAGCGAGCAGAATCATCGTGATCGCACAAACTGAAGCTCGTTTGGACGAGCTGGAATATTGTTCGCATTGAGGCATGCAACACAACTGTTATCGTCATAACAATCAATTTTTCGTATCCATTTAGAAAAACTGGATGTTTCAGCGGGTAGGATGTCCGACCCGAAATGGGTACGACCGAATTCCACAGAGAGGTCAACAGGGAAATTCAGTTACAGAAATTCGCAAATGTGCATAAAATGTTTTGTGAATATTGTGGACATTAAAAAAAGCATGAGCAGAACCTTATTGACTGAGCCGCCGGCTAGCTGAGGCAACATGATTTTTTTAGAAGAAAATTTCAAATGATGTGCGTTTCGCTGAATTACGAATTTTCATCGACTTAATTATGAGTCATCTCCTGTCATCCTGGTCACCACCTTCAGGTAATGATATAGTATTTAATCCATACTTTCAAAAATTGATTCATTGCGGTCAGTGGACTGATGAATGAGAAAGGTTCATCACAGTCGACTGAGGGATTGTCACAGATGTGAAAGAAATTTTTTTTGCTATAAATTTCGTAGTGAGAATCAGTTGCACCTGCATATTCGTTTGTATTGGTAGATGAATGCAAACGGTAGAATGAGCATTGTTAATAATTGTAAGTCTTCGCTTAACACTGTCATCGCAATAACACCACTTGACGATAGCTGTTTCGCGGGACCAGTCACAACCATTCGTACGTGGTTATGCAACCGAAGATATCGCTGAAATTTCATCAGTCACGCAATTAGGAAAAGTGCTATTTCACCAACTCATGTAGCATTGAAGTTTTGAAATTTAGTAATTTTTTCCACAGTATAAATCTTGTCGGTCGTTTGAGCATCTTCAGTTCAAGTCTAAGATTGTAAGGAGTTGAAATGAGGAATAATTAGTGCTACAGTAGCTTATAGCAATACGCAAATCATACACAGTAGCTGAACTGAGGACACATGTTCAAGGAGGATAAATTGGTCAAACTTGAGAAGTGGAACAGCGAAGAGCTCATATAGGTTCATATCAAAACTCACAGGATTGATCGCATAGGCTGCAATGGCATCGCACAGTTGAACTACAGACTGACATACGATAATCCTACTGTATGCGCGAATCTCGGCATTTTGAAGGCCGTACGACAACACAATTACCATTGCATTAGCCACCACTGCTACGCTCAAAGACAAAACGCTGTTGAAATTGAGAACGTTTACGGCTGATCCATTCAGATCCATAGTTGTTGATGACAATCGACCGACACCCGGCCAACCGCAAGTTGAATCAGTCACCTCTGAAGTGCACAAATCAATGCACGGTTGATCGTGTGCAGTTTCAAAGATTTTTTGCGTCCGTTATTAGAACCTATGAATGGCTATGTTGAATATTTTAATCATATGAACATAGATAACAAAACTCAGTCAATCAGGCAAAGAAACGAAATGCAAAGATCATTTTCAATAGAAGTGGTGATGAGCTCGAGCGAAAATTAGGGGTTGGACGGTGAAGGTGCTGTGGTGCAGTTGATAAGTAACATATGACAAAATGAAAATCTCATCTAATCGGAAAGCCTCCTACAAATGGCTTGATGAACCAATAAACAGGGTCAGGAAATCCTGGCGATGAAACGCAAAATCGACAACAGAACGGACGGAAGATTAGTTGCTATGCATCACACTTGAAAATCTTCGATAGATTGGCAGCTAATCCGGGTAATCCAGCTGATAGGTCTGCGAATTTTGAATAGACAGTGACCATTACTATTACTCAAGAGAGTCTGTGATTCTTCTCCCCTTCAAAAGTGAACCCAGTCCAAAATTCTCTGCGAGGCCTTTCACCAATTCACAGTGAACAAATCAAATCAGCAGTCAAACCAAGTTTTCAAATGACATCAATCTCGAGGCATACGTCGTTTCAAACGTTTGAACTAGTGTCTCGAATCGAGCTAGCAGAAATCTCATATTTGCTTCTTCTAGTTAAGGGCGTGTTTCAAACGCAATCAAACCCATCGAACGCTCACGAACTCTTACACTACCGCGAGGAAACAATAGAAAATCTATTGACAATCACATTTTCCGCACCATTAGATACGCACAGTTAGATACAAAATGAAATGCAGATATGAATGCTACAAATTGCGTGTTTATAATATGCTTGTGGAGGTGAATTGCTGACCTGCTCATGAAAGTAGTGGCACATTAAACGTGAATGTAGTTTTAACATAAACATTGCGTTTATGTTGAAACATTAATTTAACGTTGCGTTGCAGGCTATGAAGTGTTCATTGACTGAGGACATTCATTACAGCAGTAACATTTTTAATTGATGGATTCGAAGTGTCACACATGAACTCAAACGAATTTGAAATGTTTGTCATTCATCATTCATTATGCACACTCAATGAAATAATCAATGACGGCGGACATCGACTGAACGTTTACTTAGACTGGAATCATCTTAAGTTAATTCATTAAATAGTCACGAACTGAATTTTGATCATCAGACAGTGTCCCAGTTGCGAAAAATGTACTATTCAATTCAATAATCATTGGTTTGAAACAATAAAGAGTTCAATTCACAATGATAACGAACAACGAATATGCTATTACCCCAAGTGGTGCTGGAGAGAAAAAGGAGAAGAACGAGAACAAATTATATGAATTAAATGGTGCAATTAAAACAATTAAAATTCGATGCACGCGGTGCCATGTCATTAGCGAACGCTGAATGTTTGATGGAGTTATTATGGTGATTGAGTTCGTTTATTGCGTGAGGAAAATTCGAAGAAAAAAGACACATGGTCATGAACTGGCAACATTGATATGAATTTCAATATATTAATGTGTTTCGATCCTATCAATCATCTTCTACAATAATCTCGTTATATGACTCAGCACTACGATTGGCACCTGTATCTCAATTTGTAACAGCTGCGAGTGTAGTGATTTTTTTTTTGATCACCTATCTTGCATCAAATATCTATCATCTCTATAAGATTTTAGCGCCTGCGCAAAGAACCGTTATCCACCAATTACTACTGTACTTTGCTGTTCACATCATAGTTTTGTTATTTGTACATCATTGAATCACACCTCCAAGATATCAGTCTTAAGCATGAGAAAACCTTTGGCATGATCTAAACGTTGTTGCTTGATTGCGTGCATTCATCCGTTCTGAGTTGTGCTACACTTCGTCCATCGATTATGTGTTCTTGTTTCTTTCGTCGCTGTTATCGTATCCGAACAGCTAAATCCAAAAGCCGTTGGTCGACTTCATTTACGACTTATTCTCAGTATTCATCGTTACTCTGATATTCGTTGCTATCCAAATCCGGCAGTTAGCACAGTGGCCAAGTTTAATAATCCCGAAGTTTGAACGGATTAGTTGCTGCATCAACAATCTATTTGTGGTTCGCCATTTTAGTCCAAAAATTCATTGTTTATCGGCATTCAGGGACACTTTAGTG